AGTGGGAAAGATGAATTTCTGATTTAGTTAATATGTTAGCTAACATCAATCGGGGGGGGATACCAAATGGTACGAAATTACCTCTCATTTCAAATTCCATCACAGTGTTAAAAATACCTGGCAAATAATCTATTAGGTATGTTTTCCTTCATAAACAGTCATTGTTGCATATAAGCATATGTTTATCTTATGTCTGTAGGCCAGTCCTATAGGATGCATGTTGCTGATCAGCTGATAAACCACTACAACACTAGCTCTCTGCTTTGAGTGTGGTGACATTTGTTAAGCCCATCCATACCAATTACCCAGCTGAGGGTCATGGAGAGCATGGAGCCTGTCCTGGGGGGCTATGGATAGGCAGCCGTGCCCTGGAGGGAATGCCAGTCTGTCACAGGGCACATGCACAGTCATGTGCTCTGGGCAGCTAAGGGAGAATAATTAGCATAACCACCTGTTTCTGTACTACTAGAGGAAAATGAAGACAACATGCAAACTTCACACAAACAGACCCGAACTCAAACCTTAACTTGGGGTTGCTGGGGGTGTTGTACTTGAAAGGTTTTAACTAATATTAACAGTAACTTCACCTTCTATTTCCTGACAAAGATACATATGTCGTGGGAATTTGATGATTCAATTGTAAATGGGATAGTTTTAGCATGGGTCACATGACTCACCTATACTGGGCAATTATTAAACTTTCAAAAGCCACTGAAATACTGTCACACGTAGCATGACAGTCACACGTCACACTGCAATTTAAAAAGAACCCCAACTAAGTAACTAAGCATGAGGTATCAAGTTATGGTGCAGGTGACAAAAAAATCCCACATTCATTGTCTGTTGTCCATAATAAGAAATAAATAGTCTATTATAAGGAGTAAACTGTAACATATACCGGCAACACTTTACTTTATGGGGCACAAATACTTATTACTGAAGTACAAATTATGAACAAATATATTCACCACTTAACAGATGCATCACAATTCAGTAATGTTGAACAATACTGAGATCAGTATTTAACTTGTGTTACTCTTTACTTGTTCCTCCAGTAGCTCCTTCAGTAGTTCACATAGGTTTGCAGAATTAACAGATATAGTAACAAATACAGTAACTGCTTGAGAAAAAACAAATTCATTAATGGCGAATTAACATGAGATAGGTATGTAACTTAGTTTGTACTTAATTAATACATATGTAATAGCATAATAGTATATTACTTGTGTGCTGCCAAGTAAAGTGTCACCATATGACTCATCAAAGCAGATCGAGGCTGAAATGTTACGTTTTACATAAATATCGGTAAGTTATTTGTTTAGCAATACTTTGGTACTGAATGCATTTACCGTCATGTGATAATGTTGCACACTATATTTTGCGCAACATTTTCAGTTTATAACTGAGAACTTTAGGATATAATCAGTAAAATGAATTGCGAGATGAGACAAAGTGAAAGAAAGAAATGGAATTACAAAGAAATGTCCATTTCACAAGAGGAGAGAATGGCTGCCTTGTAGTAAGTTAGGGTTTTGTCGGGCTGCTGGAGACATGCTAACGCGAGGAAGCGGCACCGTGCTAATTAGGAAATGAGGAAGCTGACACTCTGTCTGTGAATGCTCTTTCTGGGAGGGGCCCTTTCTTCCAAGGCAGTCAGCCATGTACAATCATCCACCTGCTGCTCACAAACCACATTCTCTTCTAAAGAATCTTTTAAGAAGTTATTTAAATGGGCTTCTTAAACACTGGCAGTTGATGTCCCTACAACTCGCATTGTAACTGAAGCTTTTCGGTCTGAATGGTTCATCTTCCTAATTGTATTGTGCGGTTGCCTCAAACAACATTGTGAAACAGGCCCACATGACAGTCTTTCATTATTACCCACATCACAAAAATTGTAATGAAGAAGGACATTTAAGAGCAGCTACTACTTTACATGTATATCCAAAAAGTAAATTAAAGTCGATGCAATAGAGTAGAATAACTGAATGGGTGCAGTTAGGCCCCCGAGAGACAGGTTTGAAGAAAGAATTCTGGGTTCAAACAAATCTATTGTGTCAGTTTTTCTCTTCCTTTTGTAAAGAGCTAGTGCAAGCACATTAGCCAGAGGTTTCATAAGCTAAACAAAACATTTTCTCCATTATTTAAGCTGGTCTGTCCTTCCTTCTGGCTGCAGAATTTTCTGTCCCTAGTGAGACACAGATAAAGCCACTTTTCTCCATCTCACTATCCTCTGCTCTTCCCTGCTGAAGCTGAGACTCTTTCTGATGGTTTAAGCTCAACCTCAAACCCAGCGTGAACTTGACATGGTAACCAGCTCCCCCATGACCTCTGATCAATCTCCTTTCTGCACTTCCTGTAGCCACATGAAGGGGGGGGGGTGATGCTGGTAGAGTGTGGGATGGGATGGCGATGCACCTGTGGCAGGGCAGGTGACGGTGACTGCGATGCAGACTCTGACACTGAGGTTAAAGCCATTGAAGAAAGCAAAGATTAGACTTCTTTTGTACCCAGAAGCGTTAAACAAATTAATCTATTGCTGTTCATCTGACTGTAAAATCTCTAGATTTACTGTTTCCAAAGGATGTGGGCCCGGGTCGGGGGTGTTGCTTTAAAGGTCCGCTAATGTAGGAATGCTTTTCTAAAACTACTTTTCAAGAAGTTCAAAACACTGCAAAGAACCAACATTCAGAATATAAAGAATATTCTATATTCACTATCTGTATCACTGTGGCTAGAATCCACCAATAAAGAAATTCATAAAAATTAATTCCTGTCCCTCCTTTTGAAAAATATCTTCTCCAGAAGCTTTAGAAAGCGTTTGCGCCACTGTCGGCTTTTCTCTTCACTAATCTCCCACAAAATACACTGATAAAACTACTAAAAGCCTCTTTGAATAAGAGCAGCTTGTCTCCCTTCTTAACTCATATGAGAAGCTTTACTGCCAGAGCAATGAGGTAAATGTGAGCATGCAAAAGCAGTAATTGCTTTCCTGTTTTGATAGGTGTGGATTAGTAATTAGTAATATTATTACATTAGATAATCGAACATATACATATGTCACATTTTTGTGACATTTTACAGCCAATGAACCACTTCGAATTTTCATACAATTTTATTTATTTATTTAACCTTTATTTAACCAGGAAGGTCACATTGAGTTACAATAACTCTTCTTCCAGGGAGTCCTGGCCAAGAATGGCGGCTAGTTACAAGTACACTAAAAACAAATGACATACTACCAAATTCACTAAAGGCAATGAAACATATAACTACAAAACACAATTCCCTCAAAAATACGAAGACAATAGACATACAACCACATACAATGAAACCAATAAAAACAATGAAACAAACAAGTACAAGAACACAAGTATCACCAAAAAAAAAAATCAAAGCAAGACACAGGCTAAAAATCAATAACATCACACCAGTAAAACACATAATGAAAAATAAACATAAGGGCACCAAATAAAATTAAAAACAATGGCACTGTTCTGTAAGGGTTGATTTTAAAAGGTTTTTAAAAACATTGAGAGATGGAAGAGACTCTAGATTTAAGATATTTTGAAGTTCGTTCCAGACATGTGGTGCATAATAAGAGAAAGATGTTTTACCAAATTCTGTCCTTATTGAAGGAGTGACTAATAATATCTTATTTGATGACCTTATTTATTTATTTATTGACAATACACTGAAATCTTTATTTTTTAAAACATAAATTGCACAAAAATTCTCTGCCCATTGATAACACTGCTATACTTCAAAAGCCTTGCAGTTATGGAACTTAAAGTACTCTTTTCATTTTAAAGGTATCAAATTTTTACATCAAAAAGCTACAACACACACCTGCTAGTGATGTATTTTACAGGTGACTCCTTGTTCAAGATAGTTATTTAGGTGATTTAACTAAAAACACACATACATATATTAATATGCTCCCATTACCAAAACCAATTACTTAATTATAAAAAAGCGTCCCTTTCTTTTAGAATGAATAATACGAAATGCTCCTACATAAAAAAAATAACGGCACAAATTTATTTCTGTAGTAACATAACATTTCTAGTATTGCAGCTTTTTTTGTTAGTATCTATTGTGATTCCCGTATCTAGTTCTCAGATGAATTCTCACGGCAAGCTATGTGTGGATCCAATATGTGGTTTCGTTTATATTTCAATACTATCACATGCAAGTAACAACCAAAATAAAGAGAAGGTTGCATCTATAGACACTTTGTTTTGCTTGTATAATTTCGATAATTATAACCTGAATTTACTAGCTTTAAAACCACATTTTATATTATGAAAACAGGAATTCAAGTAAAATATTTTTAACATTTCGTATTTTGAAAACATCTGTATACATTTAGTATTTTTTTTACCAGAAACGGCTTAAAATTCATGACGAAACTAATGTAGCAACCAAGTTATTCTTAAATGTATATAAACACAAGAGCTTGTTAGTAGTTAATTAATATATTTAAACGGCAGCTTATACATTTTTGAAACCTTTACCGAAAGATTAACATACTATTATATACGGGTTACGAAAAAAGACCTAGTAAATTCTTAAAAACACACAATTTGTTTTTGTTTTTTTATTCGAGATTCGAAATTTGTAATATTAATATGTATTTGAAATGTATTCGTGTATGTCAAATACTTCTTACGGTTTTATAAAAGAATCAATATGGGTAAAAAACCTTCTTTTTTCTCTTTAATTTTGTCAATCTGTAAATGTCATAGACTCCAAAGCGCAAATCTGTATCTTTCCGATACAAGTCAGTGAAAAAATAATGCTAAATCTGGCTACCGTAGGAATATGTAAAGCAGATCATCAACAGCGGTTTGTCTCTGTAAATCCGCCGCTATGTAATTACTGGAGCATCGCAGCAGCCTTCGGTACGGCGAGCCAAAACCACAGCGAAACTATTCAAATACATCCAATGAGAAACATTGCGTCATCACCAAGTGACTTGATTCGTCATAATTGTGCGACCTCTTTCGTCATCATCGTGAGACTTTCGATGTACAGGTGGGACTGTCCAGTAACGTTTGGAGGGTGATGTCCCTTTAAGTTATTTACGAATGTTACTTTGTTCGTTTTAGTGTTGTTTCACTGAGACGTCTTTTTATATAATGATATTGTGGACTTTGCATCTCGTCTAACTTAAGAAATCAACGTGCTGCAACATAATTAAGAAAAGCGTGGCTCCAAGGTGGTTCATGTTGGGGAAAACAGCTTTCCCTTTGTTGTACGATTTATTTTTTTTTGCTTAAATCACTAAATTACTGTATAGGTTGTCTGCTACATAACAGAGTGTGTAATATGTATCTGTCCTGGATTGACTGTTAACCTTTGTTATTGTAGTTCCTGTCAGCATGTCTGTGCTAAGGTGGAGAAAAGCAGTAGTGCAGCTGTTTCACTCACCCCTCAGCCTTTGGAGGCCAGAAGTGTTTCCACAACGCTATGCGTCTAATAACCTGGGCAGCTTCCTGTGGAGAACAAGTATCACTGGGCAGCTCCGTCAGAGCTCTACAGACACTGGTGGGGTGGGGAGTGTAGTAGAAGAGGGTCCGTCTGGCAGACAGCGGCAAGACCCGCGAGCACGTAACACTGTGAGCAGCATTGGGCGGAAAATTCATCATCGCCACCTGCAGGTGATAGGGGCCTCTGGAGAAAACCTCGGCACCATGCACAGGGCAGATGTAGTACGGCTCATGGACCAGCAGGGCCTCAAGCTTGTGCTTCTGGACCAGAACCAGCAGCCACCAGTGTACAGATTGATGACTGGGAAGCAGATTCATCAGGAACAACTAATGCTGCGGGAGAAGCAGAAAAACAGGACAGGTGTGTGCCTGGCCATCACAGACCCCGTTGTGTGTCTGTATATCTGTGTATACAGCTATGTAGTATTTTTTCTCAGCTGCACAGCTCCACCTCTTTTCCTTGACCCCGTACAGGCCCTGTGGTCATGAAGGAGCTGGTCTTCTCCACAGACATCAGCCACCATGACCTGGACACCAAACTGAAGCAGGTTCAGGGTTGGTTGGAGAAGAAGCACCATGTGCGCCTCACTGTTCGGAGAGGGAACAGCAAGTCCACAGAGCCTCTGGTGAGGACTCCCTGTCTGACATCATTCACCCTACTGGGATTTTTCCTCTATGTCCAGATCAACTAATTCAGGGGTGGGTAATCTTATCCAGAAAGGGACGTTTTATATGTGGGTTTTTGCTGCAACTTTGTATGCATACTGGCCTTTTGCGGATAACATTTGCAACCCCTGAACCAATATGACCCAATTGTATATACAATGGTGCCTGTGGTTCACGAACGCTGTGGTCTACGAACAATTTGGTTCGCGTCCAAAAATGTAGTGAAAAAATGCATTGGTTCACATACAAAATTTGGTCTCCATGTCTCTCTCTGTTCCTGCGATGCCTCAGTCTGTCCGTCACCACACTATATTTTTTACTATAAAAAAAAAACAAAAAATTAACAAAAATTATTTGATAGGTGTCACGTTCAGCTCCGAACGATCCTCTTGTGTGCCACGCCCCCTCATTACCTCATGTCGACTCCTGATTGTTCCCACCTGTTTCTAGTTAATTCCAGCCTGTCCTGTGTACTTAGTCCGCGTCCGAGTCCAGTCCCGTCAGATCTGTCATTGACGTTCGTAATGTCTAGTTCTTGTCTTGCCCGGTTTTGTCTCCAGTCCCGTGAATAAACCCCATTTGCTCGTATCACCAGCTCCTCTCACCTGCTTTCCTGCTCGTTGGAGCACGCAACACAACAATAGGCTTGTGAACAAATTAATCGAATTTCAATACTTTCTTATGGGAAAAATTGTGTTCATGAACCGCAGGCACCACTGTACATTGTGACTATTTATTTGCATCTCTGTTCATACCTTATATGAATGTGAACTTGGAAAGCTCATAAACAATTAAAATTTTTTGATTTTATGGATACCATTTTTAGTAATAGTTCTCTAATTTCATATTTCGACATAGTTTGCACGCTCTCCCCGTGTTCGCGTTGGTTCTGGTGGGCCCCGGTTTCCTCCCACGGTCCAAAAGCATGCAGGATAGGTTGATTGGCGAGTCTAAATTGTAGTTGTGTGAGTGTATCCGCCCTGTGGTGTATAGGCGACTGCCCGGGGTTGGTTCCCGTCTGCGCCCCTTGATCACCTGATAGGCTCCGGTCCCCCCCGCGACCCCAGTTGGGATTCAGCGGTTTCAGAAAATGGATGGATGGATGTGTACAGGCTCATTCACCAATAACCTAAGATTATTTATAATCAACAGTTGGGTATAAAAGACAACTTTATAAACTTGCACATCTATGTTGGGATATATCCACTAGGGCTGGGTCAAGGGCTGCTGAATAGACACAGCTGTGCTGTTTGTTGTACAGACCACATCTAGGAGTGCTGATGCTTTTTGACACAAATGTACTGTCTTGTGACTTCAGGAGCTGGAGCTGGAGCTGGAGCAGATGGTGCAGGGCCTGGTGAGTGGATTTGGTTTTGTGTCTCGGCCTCAGCTCATCCGGGATGGTAAGGCAGCTATGTGCATCCTGCGACCCCCATCCAAAAAGGAGCTGCAACAGTCCAAGACCCCATTGGAGAGAGACCCGTCTGGTCCTGCAGCCTCTGATCAGTCCACACCTGTGGTGAAGTCATCTCCAGAGTAGTGATCTTTCTGCAATAAAGTGTGCAAAACAGACAGTTTATGTGTGGATCTATGCTGGATGGGAAGCTGTCACAGCAGAGACATGAGTGGCCAGTCTTCTTCTGGAGCTCGATCGGCTGGATTCTGAGCCTGTGCCGTGGCAGAGAGGTGAATGCGGTGCATCATACATCAGCCCCAGGACCCGTCTTTTCTGTGTCCTGTACCATGGCTGTACAGCTCGTGTGGACCAACCCCCATACCTGCTGTCTGAATTGTTAATGAATTCCATCTACCTATTGATGTTCTAAGTTAGAACTGAAGGTTAACATTTAAGAATGTTGTTTTTTGGAAAAGGTTTTAAGTCTAGGTTGCGGTATTAATAAAGTAGACCATCCAGTCCCCAGAATAATGCGCTTTATTAATAGAAAACAGTTTTATCTATAAAGAAAAAGTTCAGTAATTTAGTCCTTTTTAATATTAAAACTATGAAGATAAAAGATTTATCTATAAATAAATCATTGAATAAACCTGCATGTCAATTTTTCTTCAGGATGTTGTATTTCTGTAACTGACACTTTATTCTCAAGCACATTGGGGTGCAGGAGGTAATACACAAAAAACATTGGAAATGTAATAAAATTGACAGTGAAACAATTACATGAAAAAGTGAATATGTTTAAGCACTTGGTTGTGACATGCAGACAACTAAGCTTAGGAGGATCGATAAAAATCCTGAGAGCAGGCAGCATGTTGGTAAAGGGTACACTGATCATCTGGAGGATTTTATTATTTTTGACTTGATTTATTGGGCAAAGTCATTGTGAGAGGGACCTCCTCACATATGAGTGTCCAATAACTATGTGGTCTCTCCGGAAGAATGTCCAGTCTTCAATATATGTTGGATCCATTAGACTAATGAATTCTGACATGAGTTCGTGTGATACTAGGGTGGTTAGGTGCCTCCTTACTACAGTGCTACATAATATTCCACAAAGCAGGATTTTTCCATTAGCCAGACAACTTAAGCCAAATTTTAGAATTCTATTAGGAATGTCCCTGTTGGAAGGATTTCACGTTTGGCTTAAGTTATCCAGCTAACTGGGAAATTCTGCTTTGTGGAATACCCCCCAAGACTCTACCACTATGGAACCACAGAAAAAACGATTCTATTTCCCAAGCTCCCTCATCTATGTTGGAATGTATACCATTGTGCAGTAGATTGTGTTGGTCTTTATGCAGGTGTTTGTGTGTGCATATTTTAGAGAATGAAGTCCGTGAATGTGTATGTGACTGTTAGTGTGTGCGTGTAATACAGTGATTGTTTTTCCTTCAGGCTCTGTCAGTACATTGGCTCAGAGCCAGATGGCTATACGCTCTACTGTTGTTATGCAGATGGCTTCAGCTCTAATAAAGCCTTTATTAATCCTCTGCTGCCTGATGCATAGTATTCCTGTAGAATCCCAAGCTTACTGTATTTATGTAGCATAAGCTGTCAGCAAGACTTGTTTAACTGTTTTTCTCCAGTTCAAACTGTCTGCAAGATTCTGTGTTTGCTCCAATAGAAGCTATCTAGATGATTCTGCATTTAGTACTAGTTCAGTACAAGTTCATTAGACTCAGTGTTTGTCCACTACAAACTGTCCATAATATTGTTGGCTGTACTTCTATACAAGGTTTATTCTGTGTTTACCATATCATTTCATCAAAAGCTGTCCATAAGACCCTGAGATAGATTAATCTTGGGATGCCACCAATGACCTTCCTGTGACCTAAGCAGAAGGACTTGCTTCCTAAATCTTACAGGTCATCTGGAAAGAAGCAATTAAGGTTTCACCCTGGCAGGAATTTAACTCAACACTGACCTCTATGGGCCAAATATGGAATTTACAGAATGACCAGTAAAGTGAGTGGAATTTGTAGCCACAGATTCTTTGTCACTGCATGTTAAACTGAAAACAATAGATTTTACCTGCTGCAATATGGATGAAACAAGTCTGTTTAATCAGGCACTTCAGCTGCAATGCGGGTTTTTGTAACCAAATATTCAGTGATCACTTTTTTATTCTATAATGTATTCTAAGTTAAGTGCCAGGTAGGACCCACTTAATTAGGGACACCCAGAGAGTACCAAGGAGGACCCACTTTATTAGGGACACCCAGATAGTACCAGGTAGGACCCACTTAATTAGGGACACCCAGAGAGTACCAAGGAGGACCCACTTTATTAGGGACACCCAGATAGTACCAGGTAGGACCCACTTAATTAGGGACACCCAGAGAGTACCAGGGAGGACCCACTTTATTAGGGACACCCAGATAGTACCAGG